CACAGCTCATAGCAACCTCCAACTCCTGGGCTCAAGCGAGTCTCCTGCCTCAGTCTCCCAAGTAGCTGGGACCACAGGTGCCTGCCACAACACCCAGCTATTTTTTGGTTGCAGCCATTATTGTTGTTTGGCAGGCCCGGGCTGGATTTGAACCCGCCACCTTAAGTGTATGTGGCTGGCGCCTTAGCCACTTGAGCCACAGGTGCTGAACCAGCTCAGGCCCTTTTCAATTATGTTCCAAATGCTGATGCCCTCCCTCTGCCTGGTCTAAAGCTGCTCCACACCATCCATACTCACCTCCTTTCCACTCCATATCTGGTTCCACTCCTGTCCTAGCACTGCCCATGTGCCCCAGCCTTGCTCCCACACTGCACTTCCCTGCCCCCTCATGGGTACTCTGAGTTGCTCCTATAGTGGTGGTCGCACCCACTCACCGTTCCATCTGCCCGCAGCTTGAGGCAGGAGCCGAAGTCAGCCAATCGAATGTGGCCACAGCGGTCCAACAAGATGTTGTCTGGTTTGATGTCCCTGTGCTCAGGGAAGGAATGAAGGATTAAGTGAGCCTCCTTCCTTTCATCCTGCAAGGCTCTAATGCCTCCATGGAGCTCTACCTCCCCAGGTTTTGCTTTCTGAGGTTTCTATGGTTCTGGGCCTCACTCCCCAAGCCCCGTCCTCAGTAGGCCCCAACCAGCGAGGTCCCTTGCTACGGCTTGCTCCCTCTGAGCTCCAAATACCGGGAGACAAGCTTTGCTATCCCCCTCCTGGCCCCATCTCTCAGGCTCAGCCCCGCCCACCTGTGCACATAGCCCAGTCGGTGCACGGAGTCTATGGCCATGACCGCCTCAGCCAGGTAGAAGCGCGCCATTTCCGCTGGGATCCGCTCCCCAAACTTGCTCAGCAGTGTTAGCAGGTCCCCACCCACGTAGTACTCCATGACCAGGTACTGCAGGGGCGTGCCATGAGTGGTCGGTAGTCCTGAGACAAAGACTCCCAAAGGCACCCTATCCTTGGGCGAAGACCTCGCGGCCCCAGCCCTGAGAGAACCCCAGAGATACCCCAGGCCAAATCGGAGACTAACCCACCCACTGCCACGAACTCTGCCCCCCCCAACCTCTCTCAGGATATCACAGGACAGATTCACCTCCTCTGAGATATTCAGGGGAAGAGTACCCAGGGACCTTGCAACTGGCGAGTATAGATCTCAGGAAACTCCCTGCCCGGTCAGTGCCCAAGACAGAACTCCTGGAGAGCTACCCAAGGGACTCCCGCAACAGGCATCTTATACTACAGTCCCCCAGACACAGCGCAGGAAAAGAGCTGTAAGGGACATTATCTCCCTTCCCAGGTAAAGTGGCCTCTCTTCTACCTGAGACAAATTCCTAGCACACATGGACTGCTCCCAGGCATTTTGGGACAGCTCCCCCAGTCCTAGAGCTTCCTCTCCTCTCCAGTGGCTAATTGACAGCGTGGGCATCTGTTTCTGTTCCCAGCTACATGGCCTGGAGCTCACCAGGTAGTTCTCATCCTGGAAGGCGAAGTGCAGCTGTGTGATCCAGCGCCGGTCGCCATTCACCAACACATCCCTCTCTTCACGGAAGCATGACACCTGCGGGGTACCCTAGGAGCTGCAGCAGGTGAAAGGGGCAGACCTTCCAGGACCTCCCACCACCAGCCCCATCCCTACCTCGCCTCTCTTCAGCATGTCCCACTTGTTCATGATCTTCATGGCGTACACTTGGCCTGTCTGCTTCATCTTCACCACTGCTACCTGAAGGCCGAAACAAGATGAGAGGGGCTGAGGTGACCAGGAAAAGAGAAGGGTTCCAAACCGGACTCCATCCCAAGTTCCAGCCAGCCGTGGCACCACCCTCCGAGACAGCACCCGCCCACTGGTCCCGAGCCCCGCCCCCAACCCAGCTCTTAGGTTCTAAGGTTCGGTCATTCATCAATTTCTGAGGCTCCGCCCTGAACCTCTATGTCCCGCCCACCACCAATAAGTACCCACTTACGCCCGGCAGCGTTCCCACTGCTACGCGAGGCTCACCTCGCTGAATGCTCCACGTCCTATCACTTTCAGAATCTCGAAGTCATCCCTCTGCAGTCGGACCTCCTTAAGCTTCCCCACGACAGGCTCCGCTGGGGTGGGGGGAGCAGAACCCAGGGTCGCTGGGACCCACTAAAGACCCGGGGGAAAGTCCCATCCTCTGTCCCTCAGTCTCCCCTCTCTCCACCTTTGTTTCACTTTAGGACTGTCTTCCCACGGACATCCCCAAATAAACACTGTGAGGTCTGAGGGACCCAAAAGTGTCCTCCCATAGGTAAGGTGCCTGGGAACCCCTTTTCGGGACAGGGCATTCAGCCAGGTGGCTCCAGTGGCAAGCGGGATGGAGGGGGTGAGCTAACAAATTTCTGCAGAAGGGGTGATGCTGAAGAACAGGGAGAAGGAAATAAGACTGTTCTTAGACCTCCCTGGGCTTCAGGTCCTCTATCCCAAGTCCGGGTGATGGTGGAGGTGCCTGGCCCAGGCCCCACCCTGAGGTTCTCATTTACTATGTCCGGGGTTATACCCTAGAACATGCAGTTGTAACCAGTACCTCCAGATTCAGATGCAAGGGTTCTTGGACCACACTTTGGGAAATCCTAGATTTGGGGCTGGGAGAAGGAATGGGAGGAGACAAAGCCAGCGTGGACACGCATCCTGGATTCAAATTCTCCCAACAAGTCCGGGAGGACTTTAGTGCTACTACCTCTTATTTACAGATGGCGATCAGAGAGGTTAAGGTCCTACAGCATTAAACAGGGCAGTTTGGAAAGGGGACAGGCCAGTGTAGAGGCCAGAGACTAACGCACTGTGGAGAGAGGGAGGCCTGAGCTCCCAGTGGGTGAAAGAATTAGAAGCAGAATGGAGAGAGGGATGAGTGTGAGCAGGAAAGAGGAGAAGAGACAGAGGGATTTACAAAGGAGAGAGGCCCTGGCATTCTGGGGGGGTTCAGTGGGGGGGGGTTCAGGGAGAGTAGGCCGGCAGAGAAGAACCAGCCCGGACTAAGGACGGGGGAGGGAGGAGAACGCCAAGATATTGAGCCCTTTTAAGGCAGCGGGAACCCAGGCCCCCTCCCCCGCCCCAGAGGCCTGGCAGGGGAGGGGCACAGGATGCAGCTCAAGCCACAAAAGGAGTGCTCCTCACAAGACAGCCAGACCCCTACCCCAACCCCAGGCCTCAATTTACCCTACCAGCCCAACTTCATCTGTGCACCAGGGTGGCTGGGATGAAGGCTGAGGACAATGGGGAAAGGTGGCCTGGCCCTTGGCCTCCACCTTCCCATCTGTGTAATGGAGGGAGGGAGAGGAGCAGGGCCTGGGTCAGAAGACATGGACACTTGCAAGATGAGAAAGAGCAGCAGAAGGTGGACAGGCGGTGACACACAGGCAAAAAACCAAGAGCAAACCATTGAGGGCCAGGCATGTGGGAGGCCAGAGTGGCAGGGCGTTAGGGGTGACAGGAATGTGAGCCTGAGTCCTGGGCTGAGGATGCATGGAGAGTAGACAAAGCAGGAAGCTGAAGTTGAAGCACCTTCCCTCTGGACCTGTCCCAGGGGCCTGGAAAGACCTGGTAGGAAGGAACTTTGTGCGACAGCTAGAAGGTTGGAGGTCCTGAACCAAGAGAACTAAAAGACATAGGGAACCAGAGGGGAATGGCAGGCTGACCCATGCCGGATAGTAGGGCCCAAGACCTTGGGAACGAGACATAGGACCTACTGAGAAAAGAGGCACACCCAGAGGAACCCAAAGTTGTTCCTCAATCCAGGGTGCAGAAAGAGGGTGCCAGTGGCAGTGTCTGTCTAGAGCTGGTTGTCCCTCAGGGCATGTGTGAGTCACTGAGCCCTCCCAGTGTCTGGGCACCTGTTGGGCAGCTGAAGAGGCTGGCGCCAAACACCTGCCCATTGACCGCACCCCTGGCAGTTGCTCCATGCTGTCCCTCCGGGCCTGCTCTGTGTAGTAGAGGACTACAGGGCCCATATGGGGGAGGAGGGCTAAGAGACGGAGTTCCTGGCATGTCCCTAGGCCTAGACTGAGGGAGGAAGTGCAGGAAGCCATGTGAGATGGTATCCAGCCTAGCCTATTAACTCCTAAGCTGTGGTTCCAAGTCATGGCTGTTCTGGCCTCTGCTGACCTTCTTCTGCCCCCAGGATGGCACAGGGTAGGCGCATGTTGCTCCAGGACCCAAGTCCAAGCTGTGGGCCCCAGAATGGGAGGACCTCCCCACATCCCTCCTGCCCCACAATGGCCAGACCCTGCACCCAGACCCACCTCCTGCCTCTGCCTCCCGACCCAGGCAGGGGGAGCCCTACAGGCAGCCACTTACCCCACTGCAAGAAGTCGGCCACATACTTGTCCTGGGCAAAGTCGGAGGCACCCAGCTCCTGGTGGACGCCCAGGAGAAGGTCGAGTAGGGGCTCCAGTCCCAGGAAGCTGGGGTCCAGCACCAGTTGCTGAAGCTGCCTCAGCCGCACCTCGGCTGACATGTCGGCCAGGCAGCACCATGGCCCTCTCCCCGGGCCAGGGGCTGGGAGTCCTCCCGTCACAGGGCCTGGCAGCCCCTGCCCAAGCCCCAGAACCCTGGCTGCATGTCTGCCTGTCCCGTGGGCCTCTCTGGCCACTTCTCTCTGCAGTGGAGACCTCCTCCTCTCTCCCCACCCCTTGGTCCAGCCTCCCTCCCGCCTCCCAGCCTTAACCCCTCATAAGCCGGCCCCCACCTCTTTCCAGGGCTAGACTGGGTGTTAGAGAATCTCATTCCTCAAGCTGTCCCCCCCCCCCCATAAAATGGCAAGGCATTGAAGAACGCCACAGGTGTGAGATTCCAAGACAAGCTGCCCCCATTGCCTGGATGGCCCAATGGATCAGGATGATGCAGTCCATACCCCACCCCCCTTGTTTGCACTAAGCCCTAGAGCTGGGGGCGGGGGGAAAGGGGCTGAAAACTGGAAGGGGGGCAGAAGGCAGGGCAATTTCTCAGTGACTCAGCGATGGATTCCGACTTTGGGACAGTTAAATTTAGCCCTCAGGCCCTGTTTTACACAGACTCTTTTTGGCAGGAGGTTGGGAAGGGAGGGTGAGGAGAAGATCAGGAGGGGACACCCATAGGAGCCAGAACCAGGGGTGACCTGCTGCCCAAAGCCTGGGGGAGGCAAGTGTGGGGCAGGCCCTCAGTAGGCCAAAGAGACCCCAAAATAGCTCCTTGGCCTCTGGCCCGGCAGCCACATTCCTGCTCAGGCTGGGATTAGAAACAGAAACATTTCAGGGGGATGGGAGTGGAGGGTGGAGCAGGAAGACACCACTCCCCATGGCTCCTAAGAGCCTACCAGGAAGGATTTTAGCTTTTCTTTCCAGAGTGAACGGTTCTCCCAGGTGGGAATCATGGCCTCCACTCCCTTTAGGTCCCTGACCCTTGACTGGAGCAGGCCTGAGGCACTAGGTGGCACCCCCCTGCTCCAGGTTAGGCCCCTGGAGTAGTGGATTTGAAGAGTTTTTGACACTTTGAAATACACCCCTAAGGACTCTGAAGGGGGGGCCTGGCTGCCCTCTGAGATGCTCCTCTTCTTCCTAAGGGCCTGCTGCCCACCTCTTCCGTTCTCCCCCTTCCCTGGCTCCACTTTTCTTGCTATTAAAAGGGGGCAGGAGGGCCAGCTGGGGAAGGCAGGCCTGCCCTCTTCCTTTGGTTAAAGTGGACTGATTCTAGGACAACAGCAAAGCACACACATGACCTCTATGCCACCTCCAAAGAGAACAGAGTGCTGTGAAAACAGGGAAGTTTAGTATAAATAAGATGTCCTGGGGACAGGGAGGGCCCTGAGGGGCATCCATAACTTAACAATCTTCAAAAGCACAAACAACAGCAAGGGAGAGTGGGATGGGAGACAGGCATGGGGTGAGCCACCCCCTGCCCCACCCTCTCAACTGAGGGCACACACCAGAGCTAGGGCTCTTGTGGGTGGAGAGTTTCCCCTTCAGGAGTGACCAGTCACATGCTGGGGACAGAGATGAGGGTAACACTGATGTTTCAGAGGAAGGGGTCATTATACTTGGCAGTGGGGGGGGGACAAGGCTGAGGCCACAAGGGCCACCACATCCCCCCAATATATGGGCAAGTCTGGGGGACCCCCCAAAATTTGTGCAGGGTGGGGGACCGAAGCAGTCCATCAGTCATGGTTAGTCTTGTTAATATGCTGATCCATGAGGTCGGTGGGGAGGTTATGGCTAGGAGGCTGGGGGCATGGGGTGGGGGACCCCGTCATCCAGGCCTTCACACCACTGTGCCACTCGGGGAGTTGCCTGGTTGGGAGGAGATGCCCTGGGGAAGATGAGAGGGAGAGACAGGATGGGTTAGAGACCAGCTGGGGCTTCTGCCAGTGCCATGGGGAGGGAGCCACCCAAGTCCCCAAGGCTGCTGCCACCCTGGCCTTACCCCTCAGTCCACCCCAGACTCCCCAGAGGCTGCTGCTCTAGGCTGGGGAACTTGCATCTCAGCTGGCTTTTCTGTCTTGGCAATTGGCACGTTTATACAACAAAGTCCTCGGCAGACTCTGGGCAGATGAGGGGATGGAATTGGAGAAACTGGGGTCCCCTTCTGACCTCCAAGGGAGGGGGATCCTGAGATGCTGAGGAAGAACTCAAGGGCAGTCCTACCTCTACCACTGACTTGCTGGGTGACCTGGGCCAACTTCCTTCCCCTGTCTGGGTCTCGGTCTCCTCGTCTGTGAACTAGGGAGATAGAGGGGTCTCTTTCAGGACTCACCAAGATTCCCCAAATCCCAACACCTTTGCTGCTGAGGCTCTGACACTGTGCTCTTGAGTTCTAGGGATTCAGACCACTAAGATTCCAAAATTGAGGATCCCAGGAACAAAACTGCAGCCCTCACATATGACATCCTGGGTACCAGAGCCCACCCCAAAAGGACTGAGACAATTGAGACAAGCTTCAAACTTAGAAGGTGCCAGGCCTGTACTTTGCCTACTGTGACTTCTGAACCTCACAGCCACCCCAGAAGGCAGGCACATCTACCCACTGCCCATCTTAAAGGCTCTGTTCTAAGGGGTGATGAATGGGAGATCAGAGAGGGATGGTGACTTGCTCTGGGTCACAAAGAGAGTGGGAGGGAACCTAGACCTCAGCCAACCCATGGCTTGGACCCTAAAGGGCCCACTCAGACCCGGGCTAGAAGCCAAGCCCATAGGCTCAAGCTAGAGTTGCCACTAGGGCTTTGGCCTGAAGTACTCAAAAAAGTTTTACCATTTAAGAAAAAGAGATTTTCCATTTGATAGATTCTGCTTCAAGTCACAAGTGCTAAGACTTGGTTTGCTGAGCCTGCTGCCTGCCCCTCAGATCGAAGGCCTTGGGCACCACCATTGGCAGTTATCCCTTACACCTGTCCCTCTCTCTACTCACTGCCACCCATTACTCTAAGATCTGATAAGTCTCATTCTAGGACGCTAAGATTTCCACAGGTCGCCCCTACCTAACAGGCCAGAGGCTATGATAGTGACAAAAACCAACACCTTGCCTCCTCCTACCAAGGGTTCTGTCAGGCCCCCTGGCAAGCCAATGTGGGGCAACTCACCGCCTTGCCCGGCCTGGCCCAGGTGCAGATAAGCCCCTCCTGGCAGGCAGTGATGATGCAGTCCTCCAGAAACAGGAGAACGGTCAGTCGCTCCTGGGCAATCTTCTTGCACACAAGAGGCTCTAGCAGTGGCACCTCGTGGATGCGTGGGCACAGGGCAGTGCCCAGCACTTTAGTGGGGTCCAGGCGACTGCGGGGGGCAGGGCCGCTGGGCTTGTCCCCGCTGCCACCACCCCCACTGCCACCCCGACTGATGTTGCCCAGGCTGTGGTAGCGCTTGTGCTCCTTTTCAGCCCCCCGGTCCCGGCGTTCCTGCAGTGTGAGCGTGGCAAAGCGGCCGATGCTGAATGGTATACCTGGCTCTGCAGCCCCACCAGGGCCACCGGCCTTGCCACCGCCTGCAGGGTGTGGGAGGCTGTTAGAGCGGGACAGTGATCGGGGCAGGGGGCCCGGGCCAGGCTCGCCACCCCTCGAGCTGCTGGCAGCTGGCGGCGTGGTGCCAGGCGTGCCAGGGAGGGTGCGAGTGCGGGCAAGGGGTGGGTGTGGGTGCAGCACGTCTTCAGTGAGGTCCCACAGGCAGAACTGCGTGTCCTGACCTGCTGAGCCAAAGCGGTAGGTGATGGAGCCAGTCTTGGGCAGTGGGGAGAGCGGGACGCCCCCACATGAGCCAGTGCCCACAGCCTCCGGCTCATCTTCTTCCTCTCCACTGCGCTCCCCATCACCATTGGCTGTTGGCGCTGCCTCCTCTGCTCGCGTTGTGTAGGGGTCAAAGGCCACGGCGTTAACCCAAGACTTGTGGCCATGGCCCCGGGCCACCACACGGCCCTCAGTGAAGGACCACACAGTAACCAGGTCATCTTCACCACCTGTTACCACATAGCGGCCATCAGGGCTCCAGCACACACAGAGAAGACCCCCAAAGTAGCTCTTCATGAGCCCGCGCAGGAGCATGGAGTCGAAATGGAAGACACGCAGGCAGCCATCCTGGCTGACACAGGCCAGGTGCCGGCCATCAGGCGAGAAGGCAAACTCATTGAGGGGCCCCTCACCAACTGCCCACTTGGCCAGTGGGTTGCGGGGAGCCTTGCTCTTGGCAGCATAGACGGAGAAGCCCTCGCCTTGCTTCAGCAGGCTGTACTGGGGTGGGGCTGAGGCGCAGGGGTGGCTGACGTTGTACAGGTACAGGTGACCACTGGCATGTGACGCCAAGAACAGGCTCTCCGACTCAGGCAGCCACTTCAGGTATGTCACCTTGGTCTTGTCAATCAACCGCTGTCAAGGGAGACAAGCTGGGGTTGGGAGAAGGCAATAAACCCTGGGCAGCCTCCTCTGCAACTCAGCTCCCTCAAGAGGCCTTTGGACATGGCCCTGTATAACCAGTGGGTGCCAAGCCAGGCCTAGGCCCTCCTCAGAAAGAAGCTTCCAGACTGAAGGAGACAGATACCAGGTCATGGGAGCACAGGTGAACAAGAGCTGCCTGCAAGGTGGTCACAGGGAGTCCCAAGGAGCCTTGATGTCCCATCTTTGGTGAGAGAACAGTCCTGCTTGCCATAGAACTGTCCTCTATCTGTCTAACCCTTCTCCTATCTTTACATGTCAGGCTTAAGGCAAAAAGTTTATTCACTGTCCTATAAAGTAGTGCACACAGGAGGCACCTTAAAGGTATTTTCTGAACAAATGAATGAAAACTTCATTCTGTCAAGTGTTTGTATCAAAAACCTAGGTACCTCTGCCCCTATTTTCCTCACAACTAATATTCAACCCTTCAACATATCCTGCAGGCACAACCTTCAAAATACATCCAGAACCCGACCTCTTTTTACCACCCTACTCCAGCCACCCCAGTCTCAGGTACCATCAAGCCTGCAATGCTACCGAACTGGCCTTCAGGGCTACCCTGCCCAGGGTCTCTTTATACTCTGCAGTTGCCAGAGAGATGCTGGTACATGTCAGCCAGCACCTGGCACTGTCTTGCTCTGAACATGGTGCAGCTTCTCACCCAGGGTTCCAGAAAGATTGTGGCCATAACACCCTAAGGCAGCCATTACATATCAAGAATGAACTTCTCCCCCTGGGACCCAATTTGCCTCCCATTCTTTGGAAAATTGAGCAAATAATCACTTGAAGCATTTCTGCCTTTTATGGGTCAGGTGCACCCTGGTTGAGAAAGGCTCCTTCCTCCACAGGCTTCCATCTAACAGTAAAGGGCAAAGTCTTTTCCATGGACTTCTAGACTCTTCATGGGCCAGGCCCTCCATTATTTTGTGGAACTCATCTACTATCTTCTCTCCACCAGTCACTGCTCTAGCCACTCGGACTTTTTGCTGTCCTGCTTCAGGGTGTTCATACTACCTGTCCCCTCTGTTCATACTAATGTCCTTCCCCAAGTAACTTTTCCCACCTCCTCAGGATCTTTATTTCATTACCACCCCTTGGTAAGCAAGGCCTTTCCTGACCATCCTGTTGAACTCACCAAGTCTCCTCAGCCCCTTTCCCTGCTGCACTTTTCTCCAGGGGCCTTAACACCTGCTGGCACACAGTACACATGATAACTGTCTGAATCCCCAACTAGAATGAAAGCTCCACAATGGCAGGGCCTTCTGTCTGTCCAGTTCCCTGAGATGTGATATCCCTAGTACCTGGAACAGTGCCTGGCATAGGATAGATGCTCAATCACTATTTTATAAATGGACAAGCTAATGAATTTTTAATCCATTCACAGTCTACTCACTTTCTTCAGTTATTCACTCATTCTGAGACTATTTATGGAACACCTCTTCTGGATCAGAGAGAACTAGATAGAGGACAAAAGCAATACCTAGAAGCAGATAAGGTCATTTGCTGGCATTTCTTCATTGCCAAGTTAGCCCAGGACTAAGCAATCTCCATGTATGATTTTACAACAGCAGTCCTATGAGGTAGGGATAAAAATCCCAATTTGCAGAGGAGGAAAATCGAGGCTTAGAGAACAGTCACCATCCCAAAGTCACTCACACAATGAGTAAATAGTGCAGCAAGGATTTGAATCCAAAGCCCACAAGATTTAAAAAGCAAGAGGATTAAGTAAGTCCTAATCAGTTACTAGCCTCAGTTCTCTAATCTGCAAAATGGGCATCACATCCCCTTACCCAGTGGTTGATGAAAACTCAAGCAGTAGTGTTTAGCACAGAGCTCACACAGCAAGTCCAGCTGTCATTATTAGTTGCTCTTATCCCGTTCCCCATCCCTCACTCATCCTGCCCTCTCAGGCCTATGTAGCTCCCCTGGCAGCTACAGCCTAATGACAAATATTGTGTTGGGGGTTGGGGCTAGCAGTTCTGGGCTCTGGGGGCAGCAATCACCTCCTCATTGAATAGCTTGCTGGTGTCCTTCTTGATGAGATCCAGGTACTGCACCTGACCAGCTGAGAAGCCCACCAGCAAAGAGATGGTCTCTGTGGCAGCAGTGAACTGGTTGAAGTCATGGCAGGTGGGCTGAGTGCCTTTGTAGATCCGCTTGTCAATTGGCTTGTTGAGGTCAATGGACTTGAGTAGTGGGAGAAAAAAAGTTAATGGTGTATACTACTGAGAGGAAGGAAGAGGGTGTTGAGGTTGAGGAAAACCACTAAGAGGAAGCAGGGTTAATCTCTGTGGGAAGTGGGTAGGTGGATGGGTGGGTGGGGAGAGAGGAGGCAACCACAGACAGGAAAGGGATCCACAGCACAGACAAAACAGGTGAAAAAGACTGTAAGGACCTCACCCCTCCACAGACCCTAGTGCCTCCCCAGAGTTGGACCTTCAACCCTGCTTCAGGGTAACCCTTGCCCACAGCATCATGATTTGGGGTCCTCACAGTCCCTGAGCTTCTTGATTCCTTTCCAGTCCCATCCCATAACCTCAACTCCCTTGAGATTTAGTACCAAAATATCCCAAGACCCCAACACCTTGGGGTCACCCAAATTCCCCAGGGCTGTAAAGCTCAAAACATCCCAGGATACCCCTCACTTTGGAGTCCCTAAACCTCAGGACCCTTATCACAGTTCAGGGACCCATCAGACCTCAGGATGCCCCACATTTTAGGTACATTGATCACTTCTCAGCTCTTAGGATCTCCATCACTCTGAGGATCACATGCCCCCCTGGGACATACATCACCTCAGGAGCACTCATCACACCTGAAGATTTCTCTTACCCCAGCCTCTCATCCCCTTCAGATCACCCATCAACTTGGGGATTTCCATTTCCTCCAGGACTCTCATTATCTCCAGACCTCTATTTTCTTCTGAGATCCCATTTAGCGTGGATTCCTATTATCTCTAAGGCCTCCACCGCTTCCAGAATTCCCTTTATGTCTGGGCTCTCTAAGTCTCAAGACCCCTCCTATACTTCCATACCGCAATACTTCTGGGTTCTCTATCACCTCAGAGCCTACATCAGCTCAGGATTCCCCATCACCTGCAGAAAGCTTGCCACAGCAGAACCTGGGGATACCACATCATTTCAGATGCCCCATCACATCCAGAACACTCTCCATCCCACCTACGCATAACGGGGAGGGAGGAAGATTCACCCATCACCTCCAGGATGCCCAGCACCCGAAGCCTCCCATCGCCTTTCCTGCATTACCTCCAAGAATCCTGTCCCCCTAGAGATATCCATCACAGCAAAGATGCCTATTTCAGAACCCCAAATCAATTCGGGGAGCGTCACCCTCTCAGAACCCAGAACCCCAGGATGCCGGCCGCTCACCCGTTGGCTCCCGCGGCGACAGCAGCCCGGGTAGAAATAGAGCTCGCGGCCCAAGTTGAAGCAGACCCGGTCTCCCCCTGCGCCCAGCCCCGCGGGCGTGGCGGGCGGCTCCCCGGCCCCGGCGCTGTCAGGCTCCCCGAGGCGCACGAGGCTGAGGCGCACTGCTGGAAGCGCGGGCCCGGGTCCAGGGCCTGAGGGCAACGGGGATGAGGCGGGGCCCGTAGCGCCTGGGCCGGAGGCAGAGACAGGGCCGGGAGGGGGCTGCGGCGGCTGAGGCGGCGCCGGGGTCTGGACAGAAACCGGACCCGACCTGCGAGCAGCGCAGTCGCCGGGGAGCAGCTTATAGAAGCCCTCGCGGGTGCGGAACTGCGACTTGATCTCCGCGCAGTCCCCCATGGCGGCGCCGGGGCCCGCGCCGCCCTCCGCGCCGCCCGCCGCCATATTGGGCGCCCCAGGGGCCCCGCCGCAGCCCGACCGCCGCCCGCCGCCAGGCCCCCTGACGGAAGCCACGGACTCGCACCGGAAAAGGTAGGGTTGTTGCCCAGGCGACGCCTCCTCGATTGGCACCCCGGATCGGAGGCCGGACGAACCCCTGCGGTCTCTCGGGTAACGGTTCTGGGGCTGTGGGAGGGGCGAAAAAGTGGGCGCGGCCTTCGTATCCTGGACCGACTCGTGGTTGGCTTCGGGGGCGGGGATTTCAGTGGAAAGGGGCGTGTCCACTAGGGCTTCAAGTCCCTAGCAACCGTGCCCTGGGAACGGTTTGCCTAGCAACGGAGGGACTCGCAAAAGAAGGCCTCAGCCATATTCTAGCCTTCCCATGACGTCACAGCTGACCCAAGGTGACCCTGGTGTCTCCTATGATTCCCAACATACACTCTGCTGACCCCCAATCTTTCCTACCGACATCTTAAAATTCCCAGTTGACCACAGCAACCACTTCTCCCCACCCTTAATGATCCCCCAAATCCCTGCTGACCCCAATGTTTCCACAAAACGCCAAAGACTTCATGTGACCAATAACTGATTAACACTAACGCCCAAATCCTCCATGTTTTCCACCAACATCCAATACATATCTCCATGATGTTACTATCTTCAACAACTTCACTCATTCTTCAAAACCTATCTCTGCTTCCAAAATTTCACTGATCCCCATAATTCTCCCAATGTCCCAGTGATCCGCTAGTAATCCAAAGTGTTACCCTGACCCCAACATCAGCCCCACTGATGGCCAGGGCTCTACACTTCTGCTAAAGCCACCTTGCCCCTGTCCCAGAACCCTCTAGACTCACTTATTCAGTGGCCTCCCAGATTTCTCATTGGAATGCCCCAGAAGCATTTCACACTCAACAAATTCTATAATGAACTTGATATCTTACTCCAAATCCTGCTTCTCTCCAGGGTCCTGGTCTTAGGACTAGCCCTGCCATCCACTCAGTCAACCAGGCCACAGACAAGAGTGTCTTCCCAGATTTGTATCATTTCTTTTCATGTCATCCCCTGCCCAAACCCCCAAGTCTTTTGCATTATACCACCAGAATTCCTCTTTCCCACTTCCTCTCTACAGCCCTAGTTCAACCTCCTCTTGTACTGAAGAACATCTTCCTACCACCACACATCAGCCTTGTCTCTGGTCTCCCAGACTACTTTCTCATCCTTCCTATCATATCCTCCCTTCACTTGGCATCTAGAGGGATCTTTCTAAAACACAAATATAATCAGGGCCCTCACCTGCTCAAAACCCATCTGTGGCACCCTAGTGCTCTCAGGGCCAAATTAAACCCTTAGTGATCAACCTCTCCTTTCAATCTCATCTCTCACCACAGTCGCTCATAATATGCACCACCTAAAATGAGGTTTGAGAGGCTACCCCAAGAAATCACACTCTCTTTTGCCCTTAGGTCTTCTCACTCTGTTCCTTATACTTGGAATGTCCTTTCCATTTTTTTTTTTTTTTGAGACAAAGTCTCAAGCTGTTGCCCTGGATAGAGTGCCTTGGTGTCACAGCTCACAGCAACTTCAAACTCTTGGGCTTAAGAGATTCTGTTGCCTCAGCCTCCCAAGTAGCTGGATTACAGGCTCCTGCCATAATGCCCAGCTGTTTTTTTTGTTGTTGTTGTTGTCATTGTTGTTTAGCAGGCCAAGGCTGGGTTCCACCCGGCCAGCCTCAGCATATGTGGCCCACATCCTACCCAGTATGCTATGGATGTTGCCCAGTCCTTTCCATTTTTTTTTTCTTTCTTTTTTTTTTTTTTGAGACAGATTCTCACTATGTCGTCCTTGGTAGAGTGCTGTGGCATCACAGCTCACAGCTACCTCAAACTCTTTGGACTTGAGCGATTCTCCTGCCTCAGCCTCCCAAGTAGCTGGGACTATAGGCGCCCATCACAACGCCTGGCTATTTTTTGGCTGTAGTTGTCATTGCTGTTTGGCAGGCCTGGGCTGAGCTCCAACCCACCACCTCCAGTGTATGTGGCTGGCGCTCTAGCTGCTTGAGCTACAGGTACTGAGCCTCTTTCCATTCTTGAGTTGGCTCAGGAGCTCAGTCAGTCTTTGGAGTTCCCCCACCTGGGTTGTCACTGGGGAAGAGTTAGTCTCCTGTACAGCACGAGTCCCAGGAAGACAAGGCAGGGGCTGCTTAGGCACCTCTGTGTTCTCAGAACAGGGTTGGGCTAATAGGAGGTACTTCAGTAATTGTTTGATGGCTAAATTAATAATAGGCTTGGTGCTTGTAGCACATTGGTTATGGTGCCAGCCACATACAACAAGGCTGGTGGGTTTGAACCCAGCCTGGGCCAGCTAAACAACAATGACAAATGCAGCAAAAAATAGCCGGGCATTGTGGTAGGAGTCTGTAGTCCCAGCAAGAGGATCGCCTAAGCCCAAGAGTTGGAGATTGCTGTGAGCTATGACACCATAGCACTCTACCGAGGGTGACGTAGTGAGACTGTCTCAAAAAATTAATTAATTAAACAGGCCAGGCATGGTGACTCATGCCTATAATCTTAGCACTTGGGGAGGCCAAGCCAGGTGGATTGCTTGAGCTCAGGAGACCAGCCTGAGAAAAAGCAAGACCCTGTCTCTACTAAAAATGATAATAATTTAAAAATTAGCCAGGCATTATGACAGGTGCCTGTAGATCCAGCTACTTGGGAGGCTAAAGCAAAAAGATCACTTAAGCCCAAGAGTTTGAGGTTGTTGTACACAGGGTGACAGAGCTAGACTCTGTCTCAAAAAAAAAAAAAAAGAAAGAAAGAAAGAAAGAAAGAAAAGAAAAAGAAAGAAAACAGGTGGGAGAAACTCTGCCAGGCACATCTGGCCCCAAACAGGGCCCAACAATCCTGGATTGGAGACCATGTCAACAAATATGGTGAACAAGTGAATAAATGACTTGGCCATACTTCCATGGAGAAGTTTTATTTGGAGCAGTTGCCTTCCTCTTCTACCTCAGCTCTGCAGGGACAAGAAGCAAACCAACAATGAAAATGCAATCCACACTAACTATGTATAAAGAGAAAGACTACTATCTACCTGCTGGGGAAAATGGCTATAAAGTGGGCCTTAGTCATCCTGGTCCTCATCTTCATCGTCCTCCTCGTCCTCCTCTTCCTCCTCTGCTGCTGCCAGGGCCTGCTCCTGGGCAGCCTTGAGGGCCCTCTCCTCTTCCACTGTGGGGTCGCTCATCTCCATGATCTCCGGGCCGCTGGGGTACTCACGCTGAATGGGGGCTGGCAGGTCTGGGTTGAAGTTGTCAGGGCTGTACTTGTGGCCCCAGCCGATGTAGATGTTCTCAAACTTTCTGGAAGGGCAGCAAGATACTGTAACATTCATCTTCAAAGGCCCAGTGTGGACTTTCTTTAAGGGTGGGACCCAGCATAGACATAGCCTGACTGTCAAGTTGTAGATGGTAGGGTGAAATGTGGCCACTGGGTTTCTTGTTCATTAGTTCATTCAGCAAATATTTATTGAGCACTTCCCTTGTGCCAGGTCATGTCTAGAGTTAAGCTTTCCAACAGCACTTAAAATGTGACTTATACAACTGAAGAACTGATCTTTTTTTTTGAGACAGGGTCTCACTTTATCACTCTCAGTAGAGTACCATGGCATCATAGCTCACAGCAACCTCAAACTCTTGGGCTTAAGCAACTCTCTTGCTTCAGTCTCCCAAGCAGCTGGGACTACAGGCACCCGTACCAGCGCCCAGCTGTTTTTTAAAGATAGGGTCTCGCTTTTGCTCAGGCTGGTCTTGAACTTGTGAGCTCAGGCAATCCACCTGTGATTTACTTACTTAATTATTCTTTTGGAGACAGAGTCTCACTTTGTTGCCCTTGGTAGAGTGCTGTGGCATCATAGTGCACAGCAAACTCAAACTCCCAGACTTAAGCAATCCTCCTGCCTCAGCCTCCTTAGTAACTAGGACTACAAGTGCATGCCAGTACACTTAGGTAATTTCTTTATTTTTTGTGATAAGGGATCTCACTATGTTCCCTAGTCTGGTCTTAAACTCTTTGCCTCAAGCAATCCTCCCACTTCAGCCTCTAATTGTGCTAGGATTATAAATATGAGCCAGCATGCTTGGCTCAGTTTTACTTTTTAAACATGAAAATTACTACTACTATTATTGCTACTAAAAAATTTTAAAATTACATATGTGGCTCATATTTTATTTATGTTGAACATAAATAAAATTGTCTGATAAGGGAGCCACAGCAGTAAACAAATTAGATAAAAATCCCTGCAGTGGTGCCTGCATTCTGGTGGGAGGAGGTAAGTGGTAAGTACTAATCCAGGCAATTCAATCTCTTGGCAGAATTTTAACTAGAGAAGGAAAACTGGGTACATGGAAAGAAAAGGAGGGGACTAAGGCATGGGGAGAGACAGAGACAGGAAAAAGAGAGTGAGCCAAGGTATGCAGAATTTGCTGTGGAGGAGCAGTTTTGTTTAGACCCTATTTTTACATTCTTGCTTCCCTCCTCACCTCTGGAGAATTATTTGCCTCAAGGCCTTCCTCAGAGCTCAGCATCCTTGGAAACCTCCCAATCCCCACTTGCCCAGATTCATGTGGCTCTTGAACCAGCAGCCTCGGCAACACCTAGGAGCTTGTTAGAAATGCAGAATCTCGGCTCGGCGCCTATAGCTCAACCGGCT